TCGCCTAAGATGAATCAAATCGATACTTCATCACATTCTAAGATTGATAAACACAAAAAGCACTCTCCTTCACCAGTTCACCTTCCATAGGAATCTGCAGAATTTCTCTTTATAAACAGAATCATACTTTCCTACTGCAAATATAACTTCTCTGCAGGATTGTATCTATGGATCTATCAACAAGCAAGTCATCATCTTCTCAAGCGAACAAACAATACCAGTGATTCTTAAGATTCAGTCACAACTCATCTGCAATCTAACAATTCCTCCTCCAGACAAAAGATCTAACAAATTCAGTAAGAAAGCCAAACAGAAAGAGGGAAAATCAGAGACGAACCAGAACTTGAACTCGGGGAGACGACGAACAAACGGTCGATACTCATCGGATCCACGAGTAGGAAGAGTACCACCGCTGAGAGAAGCTTCGGGATCTTCCTGAGGAGAGAGGAAAGCAATGATGAGGTTCAAAAGGTAGATTCCGATTGCGTAGGTGATGATGTAGAAGCCTTCCACCAAGTAGACACGAACGAAGTAGATTAAAACGACACAGAGGCAAGCGATCCATCGATAGAGAACGTGAGGGACAGTCTTGTCGAGAAGATGCTGTTGCCGCTGCGAAACGGCGTGGATCAACCGTGAAACGGCGTCTGCGGGAGACGATGAGCCGCTCGATTGGAGATTATCGTCGGTGGCTGCTGCAGAGACACCACTCGTGGTTACGGATTCCATGGAAGTTTGTTCTTTCTCTTCTCGAACTGCGACGGAGGAGACGGAGATTGGTAGATTCGGATTGGGGATTTTTGGGGTCAGATTCGTATCCGGTTTATAATTGAGATTATACGATCAATTTATCGGTTTGGTCTCGGGTTTTGGTTTACTAATGAATTCAAAAATTTAATTGATTTTGAAAGAATTGAACATCTATCTATATATAATAGCAAAGTTTTCTCTCCATCTAATCTAATATATTCACATAGGCAAAAATTTTTTTTACAATTAATTTTAGTTTTAATTTTCATTTAATTCATGTTTATGTATATTTATTGTTATTTATAGTTACTAAAATTTT